GGAAGAAAACAAAATGAAACACAGGTGCAATCCCTTTTTAAAAATAGAATCTAAGTAGAATAAAATACACAATTTATCAGGCAGATTAAACAGCATAATTATGGTGATATATTTTTGTATTTCTATAGACTTTCTCAGAGGCACTGGCTACTTTAAAGCCCTGTAGATAACCTGATTAATAAATACAGTTACTCCCTCTCCTGCTTGGTAACCCTGGCACCAGGACAGACTGAGTTTGCTATAAGCTAATTTTCTTTTTTCTCGAAATTGAGCAATCTAGCCAGACTTTGTCTATGTGTGGATTCAAACTGTACTGACACTAGTCATTCCCCTAGACCTTTAATCTCTACTAATACACCTTTCAGCACTGTACTCATCCAAGTGGTTAATTATTTGATACACCTTGTGAGAAGTGCCACGTCTCACAGGAGCTTCTGGCTTTTCTATGTCCTTTCCCTTTCCTTCTCAGACATGAAAGCCAGACAAGTCATTCCCTCCTTAGAATGCAGAATATTTTCTCGTCTTGTTCCTGGAAGCTGTGTTTCACCTAGCTTGTAGTGTGCCCTCTGTCTAAGGCAGGGGATAGAGACCAGTGATGGGCAACACCTGAGCCAGCTCTGCCTCCCCGTTCCTTTGACTGATAGTCAGCCTATTGTAGAAACGATGCAATTTTAGCAGTACTGTGGCAAATCGCCATGTTGTTGTAGAGCAAGCTCAGCCCATGGTGACTGAAGTTATGTGTCAGTGGAATGTTGTTTCCAGGCATTTCAGTCATGCTAGTGGCTTAGCAAAATACTGAGACCTGCTGAATCTAATGCTAATAGCAAAGTGGTTTTCAGGAGCTAGGCTGAGATACCGAAGCAGCTTGTCATCCCCACTTCCTTTGTGTGTACAGAACTCAGCTCAGACCTTTCAACCAATTTCACTTATTCTATTTGGAAAAATTTTTGGTTTAGATAGTAAAAGTTTCATTAATTTCTATATTTTTTAAATAAAAATTCTCCTTTCAACCGTTTTTAATTGAGAATTAGGAATACAGTTTTTAGACTCCCTCAAGCCATTGTGTCCTCTAGCAGTAAATATGATACTTAGATTTATTTTAATGACTGCAAAATTGGCAGAAATTTTATTTTACTTTATTTTAAATAACTCTTAGACATGATACCCACGTCTAAAGATATCTCTTCCTATTTCCATTATGTGTTCTGGATTAAGGAGAGCAAAGCCCTGATATCGCTTGACTTACTTTCCACTAAAGTCTAAGATTATAGCTGAAGGAAAAATCAATAGGATTGTTATCAGGAATACAAGAAAAAAAACTCTTGAACTCTTGAATAGAGCGTGTAAGTATATACAGTTTTAGAAACAATTTTTAACAAGGTAATTTACCTACAGGAACATTTTGCTAAACCGTGAGAGCTAGCTAAGGTACAGAAATTTGCACAACTACAGAACTCACTGTCATATGTAGATTCTGTTTTCTCAAGGTGATGAGACTTAGTCTCATTATAGGTGTAAATTCCTCATTGTTGTAAGATGTAATAAAATCCCTCTGCCCCCCATATTCTAGTGAACAATTTTTCCTTCTTGCTAATAATTTTATATTGTTTATCTAGCATGTGGTTACATAAAATATAATTAGGACAACACTGACAAGATCAGATTAAAATAAAATTACTTCTAATGCACGGGGCACAGCTGCTTGGTTACATTCCCACTCTACCCACTCGTCTTGTATTCAAATCATTTTCTGTCTCTGGTGATACTACTACTAGCCAGAAGATACCCATACAACTAAAATGCTGCCCTAGTTTACACTTCTTCTGAGTTTAGTGCTATCACCAATTCTATTTTCGTAATTCATCTTGCAATTATGTTTATTTTGGTTGATTTTTTAAACCATCGCCTTTTAGGATAGTAAGATTCTCAGTTTTACTTTAAGTAAAGTGAAGAGGTTTTCTAACATTCCAGGTATAAAATGGAAAATCTGAAACTCCCCAAACTCAAAAAAGAAAAACCAAACCAACACATGGGGTGAAAAAAGGCTTAGGATTAAAATTCTTATCATGATTTTTGGTTGACTCATGGGCATTGAACCTGTGAAACTGGCTTTGCTGCACACTCTGTACTAGCAATTCAAGATTATATATATCAGTTAGAAGTAATTTTTATAATCTGAAGGGCCCATAATTTAAAAACTAGTGCTGCAAACAAGCTACAACATCCATAAGGGAAAGGAAAAAAAAATGGCACTGAAATTTTTAAAAAATGTTTGAATATGTCTGAAAATTCACAAAGTCTACATGCAAGACCTTTGTACCACTGAAATCGAATAATGTTCTATCATCAGACTTTTTTTGTACCAGAACAAGTCACTCCTCTGTGCTGCATTAGAAAGAAGCTGAGCTTTCTGCAAGCTATGCTGTGGTTTTATTTTACTAGTGCAATGCATCAGCCCTTGGACTGGCATTCTAATGAGGACAGGAACTGTTCTTTCATACAAAGAGGACTAGTTCCCCCTCCAGTCTGTTTAAAATATTGTTCACAGCTTTGAGCACACTATAGTTACAGAGCCTACTTTTCCTCACAGGAACTGATACAAATGACACAAAGTCTAGGTCAATATGCTCAGTGTTTGGTGACTTGATTCCACATCACAGTAACTAATCTTGATTAGTTACAAGAATCACCACCGTTCATTTTGCCAGCACTTCTTGTCCTCAGCCTGCCATTTGCCCTTGTGCTTTGGAGAACTGTTATTAAAAAAAACCTGCAAGCTTCCCTTGCATCTGCCCCTTGTTCCTCAGAGCTTGGCTCTGCTGTGGGGTACACTTGGCCTGTGACTGGTCACATAGTCTGCCAGCAGCAAGCCATAAATCATTCCTTATATTTGCAACACAGCAGTCTCATTGCACCCCAAAGCTCTTACCTTCTTAGTCTGCTTGCTCCAACACCGGTATTCATGATTTTAAACTCCCAGGCATTTATTTTAAAAGTCCTTAGTACAATGTGTTTGAGATCCACTGAGATCCCAAGTATATCACCCTGGCTGAAAAGGTGCAGTAGTAGAATGTTAACACAGCAGCAGATTAGAGTGTTTGTGACTGTGATGGAAGTTATTTCATATAGCAGTTCTCTCACCACAGGGTAGAGCTAGACAAGAACTGTAAGGAAAGATTAATCAGAATGAAAAGTGTTCGTAAGAACACAGTTTTTTGACGGGCTCTGCTCACAAGAAAAGCTCCTCAGGCTGAGGGTAGCAAATCTTAGCAAGACTGATGACAAGAAACATATGATTACGACACATACCTAGAATACAAGATCTCTTTGGGCATGGAAACCAAAGGATGGTCACCATATAAAGATAAACTTCCAAATACATTTTGGCAAGACATGGAAAAAAATTTACATAACAAAATATTTTGGTTTGTTTTTCAGAAGAAAACTCCTTTCTGTACTAAAGCTTGAGTTGAAAACAGGGACAGAAAACTTCAGCCATGGAGGAGGAGAAACCCACCTTTTCCACAGAAAGAACAAGAACATATCAAGTATATGTCATACCAAGGAACCATCCACTCTGCCTCAGTGGTTCTGCTACTCATTTCTGTCAGCATGCTACAGACAAAACTGTGTGTAACACTGGGAGTTTAGATGCAAAAAATAAGCTGGTCGGTGCCCCAGAGTTTATGAGAAGGAACAGAACATCTTGACAGCGCAACAGAGCAGTTAAGTCACAAGAAAAACAAGATTGTTTTATATTGTTTCTATTTCAGTCTGGGTAAAGCTAGATTACAGCAAGTCTTGACAACCCTCCTTGTTCAAGCACAGGTCTTTGCTTTAATTAGCAAATAAGCTAGGGAAAGAATTAAAATTGTAAATTTGTTGACTAAAGATGAGTCTATGTCCTCGTTCCTCTCTACTGCTCTCCTATTATTCTCGTCCAGTGTATTTCTTCTATGAAATACTTTACATTTGGGCTGAAGAATGGGCACTGAGGGTCTTAGTCCCCTCTTCCTGTTTGCAAGACTACTGTAACAGAAAAAGCAATGTCGTATGCTAATACCCAACTACAGGAATTCAGCAGGCAGCCTCTAAGCCACTAATCTGAATGTAATCCAGCTATACTTTTGAGCAGCACCACAAAGGTAAAGCAGGGGTATTCATCCTCACGGATACATGTGCATTTATCTGAGTATTAGCTGGGAAATTATATAAGTTCCTATATAAGACCACTCTTTCCTGAATAGTAGCAAATCCATCCATACAAAGATTGGGAGGTTGTTGTGCACTTTGATTTACTTTATTGAGTAATCATCTGATAGCTACAATGGTGAATTGGAAGTTAAAAAATAAAATAAAATAAAATAAAATAAAAAGAAAGAAAAAGAAAATAAAAAAGAAGAAAAAGAAAAACCAACCCCCCCTAAAAAAAATCCACATCATATTTCCCCATATTTTGGGAAACAGGCTGAAGAAAACATTCTACACTGTAGAAGACACATGTAACTGCTGATATCCATGTTTTAACATTGGAACTGCCAGCCTGGAGCATGTAGTTCTAAAGCCTCAACCAAAAGAGGCTTCATAATAATAGCATGGATACATCACCACTGTGAAGATGTTAACATGTTAAGGATTATGGGATACCAATCTGGTATAATCAGCGATATACTGGGCTCCTGTGAAAGATGTGGCATTTCTTATTGAGGTCAGCTTTCAGAGAACTTTGAAAAACAATGTTTTAGAGTGATTACTTACAGTACTCCTTTGCTTGCAGAAAAGCAGGAGAGTAGTTCAATAAAAACTGAATGCATGATCATTTTTCTGACTGGATTTGATTAGTTGCATAACTTTAGCAAGATTATCACAGTGTGATCTAGTTAAGCTTTTAGGATTATATGAACACCAGCACCAAATTAATCTTGGAATCAGACAACTGAGATACATGTAAAATCTCATATGTCTCTGAGCATTTATGAAGTCTCTCCCAGTCCCACTGCTTCAGTAAGCATTTGATAGTTAGTGCAGCATTTTATTGACAAAGCAACACAGTCTGGACAGATTCCTGGCTTCTCTCTCCTTGCAATAATAGCATGCCACCTTGTTGAACCCCCAAGGATGCAAACTGGGATTGTTTTACATAAAGTCTCCCTTTGCAGCATCTGAAATAAAAACCTTTCCCCCAGAACTGCCACTGTTTTCATAGTGAATTCCATGCTGAGTTGTACAACGGGTTACTCAGTTCTTTGGCTGATTTTAAGAATTGCATTCAAAAGTTATTCTGTGTTAGAGGCATTTAGAAAATATATTTACACCTGGTACTGATACTCTTTCAAGTACTCTTTTAGTCTTGTTGGTAATGGCAGCTCCCAGATCTGATTTGTGCTCTTGTTTATAGCTATTCTGCAGCGGTGTTGCAGAGATGGAGCAGACGTATAGAGGGGTTTGTTCAAGTAAAGGTGAACTGTTCCATTTGAAGGTGTTCCAGTTCTATCCTTGCACATAAGAACATAGTACTCAATCAAATGCACAACGCTGTTGAACTGTTTAAGTCTAGATCTGACACAAGTGATAGAGTCCAGTCTAAACTTGCCATCTTGATATTCTATACGTAGATTGGTCGGTCCCGCTGATGTTTTTACCGATATAGTCAGTAGATACTCTGAATGCGAACTATCCCTAACCAAAAAGGTCCCTTCAGGGGCATCCTGTAACCTTTCTTTGGCTTCAGCAACAGTCATGTTGCCCCAGTACCATCCTGTTAAAAGATGAGAGAAAGAAGGGATTTGTTTATTCCTGTTTGTTTTAAAAGCTGCTCTCTGGCTGATACACTTCTAGTCACCCATTTCTGTTGTTGTTTGAAAGCTAAAGTCCTGCAGGCACAGTAAATTTTTATTTGCTATTTAAATTCTTTTGTTTTACAATGCGCCTCGTTTTGACAGAGCCTTTCAGGTCACTTTTTATTTTCATATCTATGCATACACACGCACAAACTTTGGTGCAGCGTCCTGCGGGGCCGACACCGGAGCCACCGACCCGGCGGGCCGCCCCTGAAGCAGCAGGGACGCGTCCCGCGGCTCCCAGCTGCTCTCCCGCCGGGGCCAGCGCTGGTTCCGCTGGCAGCCCGTAGAACGCCCGCTGGGGTAACTCTGAGCATGCTGCTGTTGGAATGAGCTTTGTCTAGCGATCGAAAGCAAAGGGATAAGAAAACAACTTCGGCGAGGTAGCTGCGGTCCTGGCGCGGCTGCGATGAAGACAAAATGCCCTTCCCTCCGCCCGCAACCAAGCCCCGCATCCTGCGGGGCCGGGCGAGCCGCCGCCACGCCGGCGAGGGGAGCGCAGGTACGCGGGGCCGAGGGGATGCGGAGCCGCGGCCGCCCCGGCCGGCGGCAGCGCCCGGTCCTCGCCCGGCCGCAGATCCCGGGCTGCCGCCGGGGCGCGGCGCTGCCGGCGCTTTCGCTTCGGCCGCCGCAGTCCGCGGAAGGTCGGAGTCGTCGCAGCTCTTCTCTTCTGCGGGAACGCGACCTCGCAACGCCGGGCGGCGATGGCCAGGCATCGCACGGCCGCCCGGTTCCCCTCTCGGCCCGGTGGGGATCCCCGCTACGCCGCTCTGCCTCCCCCCGGACAGCGCCGCCGCCCCGGGCGCTTTCCCCTTCCCCGCCGCCCGGGCTTACCTGCCCGCCGCAGCTCCTCCATAGCCGCGGCCAGCTGCTCCGCCTCACGGCACTCCTCGGCAACGGGCGCCGCCGCCCCGGGGTGCCCCCAGCGCTCCCCGGAGCTCCCCGCGCTCTCCAGGGACTCGGCGGAGCGCAGGGTCATGGGCGGCGGCGGCGGGCGCGGCCCCGCTCGCACGCAGGTCGGGGACTGCCGGCAGGAGAGGGCTCCGCTTCGCCGCCGCGGGCTTCAGCGCCGCGCTGGGTGCATGGTCCCGGCCCCCAGCCCGGGCGCCGCCTGCGAGCGGAGAGCGTGGTTAGCGGCGAGCCCCGCGAGAGGCGCTCCCGACGCAGAGCATATTTCTGGCGATCCCGCTTCGGAACTTCCCAGCATCCAGAGGAGGGACCCGAGGCGAGAGATCACCTCCCGGCGGAGCGGGGGAGGGACATCTCCTCCCCACCGCCGCCCAGCCTGTCCTCGGCTCCCGGCGGCGGCTCGAGAAGGTGGTCTCGCTTTATCGCAAAGGCGAGCCCGCTGATGCCCCCTTCCCTTGGCTGGGGCAGGCGAGCCCGGCCGGCAGCCCTGGGACTTTTGGGGAGGGAGGAGGTCGTGGGGGAGAGCCGAGCACGTAAAGGTATGAGAGAGGAGGGGTAACCAGCAGAGTGGGGCAGAGGTGCCTGCCCCGGTGCTGCCCGGGTTTCACGCTGCGGTGCACGGACAGTACGCACGGATACCTTCTAGTAAGGTCATCCGCGAAGTCGTACCTCTAGGAACAGGAGCCCGGCGTGGGCCATGCTCCTGGGGTGGGAGACCTCGCCCGGGCAGAGACGTACCCGAGGAGCTGCGGGGCGGGTGAGCGGGGAGCGCCGGCTCCGGGGGCTCGCCGGCCGCTTGGGAACGGAAGGGGCAGCGAGTCCACTGTAATAAGTGCGGGGCAGGAAATATGCTTTTCCCGCTCCATTAAATACTGATATTTGGCGGGGGGGGGGGGAATCTTTCCTCTTAGTTAAAGCTAACGGAAGGGACAAAAAGAGCCTCTTCTCTTCTGGGTGCACCGCCACATCAGGAGCGACATAAAGCCGGGCAGTACCAGCGACCGGGAGCCTAGCCGGCTTGGCCGGAGTAGGGGGCCGGGGTTCACGGTGAAAACCGGGAGCCGACCTCCAGTGCTTGCGAACAGGGCAGTCTCTGCCCACGAGTGCACAGCAGCCGTCAGGTGAGGGATTATGCTGAGGCAGTTCCTCCCATAACAAGTTCCGCCGCGGGGGAGCTCAGAAACTTTTCCAAATTAAACTGTAGTGGCAACTGGTAGGGTTTTCTGACAGGTTTCCATCCCAACATATGTAGGCACACACGCGGGAACCCCTCGACAAAGCCTATCCCCTCCCTCCCCAGCGCAGAAGCTCCCGCAGCCCGCTCCGTGACCGGGCGCAGGTGCGCCTGTCACCGGAGAGGCTGCGGGCGCGGGGCCGAAGAGCGCAGGTGGGAGCAGCCCTGCCAACGGTGTCCGGGCGCGACCCCTTGTGAAAGGGAGACTCCGGGAGCGCCTAGCCGCGCAGCGCCGCCGCCACGGGAGTTCGGTGAGGACGGAAGGCTTGCGAGGCGGGGGCGGCTGGCTGCAGCCGGGCGTCCCCCGGCCGAGGCGAGGAGCGCTGGAGCAGCCTGCCGCCGGCTGCGGGGGAGCCTCCATCCCGGCGGTCGGCAGCGCCGTACCGGGAGCGGGGCGGCGGGCTGCCGGCTCTCTAAGCGCAGCAGGGCATCGGGCGGAGGGGGATGATGACAAGGGGACTCACCCGGGCTCGGCGGGACGGGGTTGGGGCCGCCGCTGCCGCCGCCTGGAGGTGGGGCGGTCAGGTTGTTCTGGCTCCCGGCGGCGTCGGGAGGCCGGGGGAACACAGCACCCGCCGCCGGCGAGAAGCGTCGAGGCTGTGCTGGGGCGGACAGAGGCTGCGGGAGGAAGATGGTGCTCCTGGGGAAACAGCACCCTCCGTTCCCCCCCCTCTCCCCGGCGCGGGCGGTCTGCTCGCCTTTGATTGCGAGGCGAGGGCATCCTGCCCCCGCCGCTCCCCCCTCCCGGGATGGTTACATACAAAGGCTGCTTTCCAGGAACTTTCCAGGAACCGCATCATGTGACAGGACCCGCTCCGGCGCCTCCGCCGCGATCGCGGCCAGCCGGGGCCGACGCACCGAGCCGCCGCCCCTGTCACGCCGGGGCAGCGGTCGCCGAACGCTGCCCCGCGGCCCCCCCGCCTCCTCCTCCTCCGCCCGCCGAGCCGCGGGCGACGCGCAGGTCAGTGCCCGGGGCGGCGGAGGGACCAGCCCGGCGGGGCCGTGCGGGGCACGGCGGGACCCCTGCGGGAACCGGGCGAGCGCGGGAGCGCAGCCGCCCGTGCCGGGGCCGGAGGGGCGAGGGGCTCCCGGCCTGCCCGGCGCCAGCAGCCGCGGGCACCTGAGCGCGGCGGCGGGGCCCGCCCGCGGGGACGGGAGCGCGTTAGGGGCCGGTGCCAGCAGCTCTCTGCCAGCGACTTGCGGCGGCCGAAGCTCCTGGGACACCCCACCCTGGTCTCCACCCCCCTTCACCCTCCGGCACTAAATACCTCGTTGCTACAAACAGCCATTGCCCGCTGATGCGCGCGCCGATTTCCTCCCCCTCCCCCCTCTTTTAAAAAAAATTATTATTATTTTTTTTAATAAGCACTAAGCTGTTTTTCAGCGTAAAGATGGTTAATTGCGCCGTGGGTGCTGCTCGGTAACCAGCCACCGTTCGCCGCTGCCCGGGCGGCCCCGAGCCGACTTTAGAAAGGCACACACACACAGAGTGTGGGGGAAAAAAGAAAGAAAGAAAAAAAAAAAAAAAAAAAAAAAAAAACGGAAAGAAAAGAGGGAAAACAAAGCAGAAGTAGCCGTAATAGCTTCACCCCAGCCCTCGGCTGCAGGTCAGGGCTCCCTGCAAATTGCACGGGGGTATCTGGGAGGGAGAATTGACGGGAGAAGGATTGAGGGCTGTCTTTTTAAAGATTTCAGGAAAGAAACGCAAACCTATAAAATAATAAAGATAATAGCTTCAAAAATCGGGGCGGGAGGGGGGAGGGAGTCTTTGTTATCAGAGGGGTAAATTGAATATGTATGAGGCTGGACTGTCTGGCTGAGGGAGCTGAGCAGCTCCCCTGCACAGAGAAAGCTCCCACACTGAGACGCTGCCTTGGGTCGCACTTCCCAGTAATGTCTGAAATGCAACGTTTCTTTAAAAAAAATATAAAAATAAGGACTGAGGGAGGATTAAAAATCCTGAAGGATTTTATAACAGTTATTCCTTATAATTCTTAAGCATAATGAGATAAGAGAATTAATAGTTATCTTAAAAATTAAGTTCTGTATTTAGTAATTAAGTAAATTAATCTGAGAAAAAAAATCTACTTTGTTAAGTGAAATATTGGTCAGTATGATTTCATCTGTTTGTAATGCCTGGGTGCTTTTGAATTTAATTTATTCAGTTTATGAAAAAAAGGTGGTTTTAATCACTGGCAGCAGCACAGATTTAAAATGAGGTCTGAGGAACAAACACGGGCTTTCTTAAGCATTCTCAGAAATGGTTTAAAACAATTTAGGTCTTGAAGGTCATTCTTGTTTCTGTTTTTGTCTAAGAAGTTCAGATAGCCTCAGATCCAGCCTCCAGTGTTGGCTATGGAATCCCCACTAAGTTTTTTCGTTGGATTGATGTGAAGAGGGGAGATAATAGGTTTATGCCCCTTGAAATTTAATTGACAGTTCAGCTACCTATGACGTGAGAGCTTGCAAAAAAAACCCATTACTTTTTCAGAATGGCACTGACTTCACTATGTTCAGAAGAGAAATTAAAAATCAATACAGATTTATTTTTATTACTAAAATAATTCTGTATATGTAGGCACAGAGTTTTTGCTCAAAAATGTTATTCTGATGTCATAGTGTTCAAATTAAGGCTATTTCTTTGAAGTTCACTAATGCATCTTGGAGAAAAGGAATATGTCTTGTCTAGATGCAAAGCTGCTTTTTTACAGCTTTGCTATAGTTCTCTTTTCCTATGTTATTTTATTAATGGGATTTTTATGTGGATAGTATCTCAAGACTTCCTTTGCTTCTCCTGTTTATTCGTCACTTGAAGTCATAATAATTTGTTTTTAAAACCACAGCTGGTTGCTATAAAGGCAGAGGGAGGAAGACCACGATTTATGTGGTGAATGAGAAACAAGAACAGAAGAATGTAATAAATGTTTGTTACTTAAAACTTCAGATATTGTTATGAAAAAGGTAGCATAAAAATTAAATAGGCAGTATATCAGCAGGATCTTTCCTAAACAGAGTTCTGTTCATCTTTTTTTCACGAGAACTTAATGTCTCCTAAAAGTAGCAATAAATATCTGATCAACTTACAAGAGTAATGAAATTCAAACTTAAAAACTGCAAAATGATCTTTAAATGACAATACTGCCACCTCATAAGAGTGCTCTGGTTCACAGTTACCTTTTTCCTCTGGCTTGAGGCATCTGAAAGTGCTACAGGCTCAGTGGAATACGTTTGTATTTCACTGTTTCTTTCAACAATGTTACTTGCTCTTTTTCTCCTCTGTCTGCATGAGTCTTCCATACAGTTATAGGAGAGAAAACAAACAGTCTTAAGGGTAAGAAAAGGTGATTAAATTAAATTACTTTTGGTATTATGGGCCGTATGTAGTGCATTGAACTACCTAAAGCTACTTTTTAGCATCTTTGGCACTGGGATATTTAATACAGGTTTAGTCTGCCTGAAAGGTTTTACTTTATAAAAATTGGAATGAAGTAGGAGAAAGATGAGAAAAGAAGGAGCTGACTCAGAAAACTTAGCTTTCCATCATGTAAACAAAATACAGTTTTTTAATCTGCCATGTAACAAACAGTCAGTCTTCTAAACAGTCACTAATATAAAAACTATATACAAGTGGGGATTTAAAACTTTTATGTACCATTCAAACCAAATGCTTTATTTATTTTTAATCTGTGTGTTTTGGGGTAGCAATTCTAGAACAAATATTGCTGTACATATGCAAATATGAATGCTTCTGAGCAAGTTTTAGAGGCATATCATCTGACTGGAGATGAAAGGCACAAACTTAAGTAATCCCTATTATTTTTCCTGATACTTTCTACTATTCGTGAATGTTGGTTCTGACTGTATATCATCCATATATAGATATTTTTTATCAAGTTTTATATTAGTAGTAAAAATATGAACATTAAGAGTTCTTGAAAATCACAAGCAGAATATATTGTTTCTGATGATTTCAAATGCATATGCTCAAGACAGGGAAGGGTGAATGAATTTATTTTTTATTTTTCCTTTAGGCAAATTTCCCTTTCATGACCAAGGAAGGAGGAAACAACGTTTTTACAGTCCTGTGCAGTGCCTGTTACTAGAAATGATTTTCACTTTGTTCCTGAAAAGTATGCCAAGTTTACTGGTGAGCTAGTATGCTGATTTATTTATATAATTGATGTGAGCGGGGGGGGTAATGTGTTTCTGACTCAGCTGGTTTTGCTAAATTTGCTCTGATTCACTGAAAAGATTTACTGATTTATTAAGATAGATTTACCTAGCTGGAAGAATACAAGGGGCCTTTCCTTACTCTCTTCATCCTTAAATTTCCAAAGATACAGCACAGAATATCCATTATCCATGGCACACCATATGGTTAAAAGGACAGCAATTGTTTATCACATTCACCTACTTATTGACCATATTTTGACAACTGTTTACCTGAACTAGTCTAAATAACAGTGTACAGCTGCCATGGTTTCTCCCTGTCCTGGGATTACAGTCTGGTTCTTGAGCAGAGAAATACCAATACTGAGCCTTTGGCTCCAGCAAATTGGAATGAGTTAATTGTAACTCCACAGCACGAACGAGGGTCTGCAATGTGAACTCTTAGAGGATTTCTCACTTAGCAGTTAGGAGAAAGGTTTGCTTATTTCACAAAGAGTTCCTAAAACATAATAAATAAAACATAGAGAAAACAAATATTTTAGTGTATGGGATCACCCTGCTCTTTCCAGCTGCCTGAGGAACAGAATGTTTTGATGGAATAGATTAAGATTTATACCAAATAGTTTTACTCTTTACCAGCTGCCACCTTATTTCCTGCCATTTTTATCTATTCACATGTGAATGCTTTACCTTTCTTGATAATATACATTTAGTAAAGGAGAATAACAAAATAATTCAGTGAATAATTTCTATGAATCAGGGGTGTTCTAAAAATAAACCAGCACTTGCAATTTAAAAGCAAACATCAAAAGATGGCACCAAGAAAGTAATACTTTAAAATAACATCCAGATAATTTTCTTTCAGAGACAGTTGATAAAAAGAAGGATCATTCCCTTTGATTCAGTGGATAGGTAGACAGATAATAACTGGCATGCACAAAACTGACCATAAAAAGGTGGCATTTAAGTCCATCTCTCATCTCATCCTGTGCTATCTACTATCTAAAAGTAAAGGCCTAAACTGCATTGAGTAAGAGGTTACCTACACACTTGAAATCTTGAATGGAAATAATTAAATGTAGTGCTTGCTTAGTTTCTCCAATTTACTATTTACAATTTGAGGTAAAACCAAAATAACACAAAAATATTTTGAATAGGCATTTAAAGGAAAAGTAGAACATGGTGACACAGGGTACTAAGTATTAAAAAAAAGATAATTTACACAGCAGTTTTTACTTTGCTATGTTAGGCTTTTTTATAAACAGCAGACTTCTGGTCTATCACCATGTTATTTTGTGAATTATCAAATTTCACTCTGACTAAAACTAGCTAAATATTGCTGAAAGATACTGGAAAATAAGTTGTAAATATACATGTTTTGATAGGATTTTCTTCTCTTTCATGCTTCCTTTTCATTAACATGGTAGAAAAAAGGACTGCTGGAAAGGACCATTTTTTACACAGTCTTTTCAAACAACTACTAGGAGAATATTTGATATGGATTTTAATATTCAGATTATTGCATAAAATGCTGTGACTGTAATATTTATTTACCTTGTTTTTTTGGCTGAGAAAGAGCATGTAGGTGTATATATGCATTACACCTATACACACACATGTTCAGAACCATGCTCCCTGAAGTTCTGGATTTTTTTAGAGAAACATACACCCTTGGTTTTGTGTTTTTGGGTTTGTTTTTTTTTTTTGAAAAATCCTAGAGATAGCACAGCTGAAAGCACTGTGAAATCTTGCATTCTCGTCCTAGAAGCTGCCAGAAAAAACAAGCCTTTTATGCTTGAGGAGGCTCGAGATGTTTTTCTGCCAGTTGCGAGTCCTATGCCTCAAAGTAAAAGAGAGCAAGTAATGTCTGTGAAAAAAGTTTTCCTGACAGACAGCATGAAGGCCGCTCTCCTATGCTTTGCCAATCCATAACTAATAAAGTTCCTTTGTTGGCAGAGAGTCAATTTTGAAACTAATAAGGAAAACTTAAACAGGTGATGCAGTGGCTATCTCTAAAAGGGAGATTTTTGAGTGGAAAGTGAAGTAGAAACTGGGTTATGTGTCTCTGAATAAATGGCCTCCCATCAGAAAAAGATTAATTTTAAATCACTGTTCTAGTTCTTATATTAAGGATAGCTTAATTCACCTAGAGCTATTTGGCCTTGAGGATGAATTCTTACAATTAAGTGTTTATGATTGAAAGTTCTGCCATGGAGAGCAGACAGATGAATATAATTTTAAGAGTACTGTGAATCATTAAATGAGTTGTAGAACCTTTTTCTGAGCATGAGCCATTTTTAAATTTCAGGCTAAGGCTATAATAGACTTCAGCATAAGGCCTGACGTGTTTCTTTACTTAGGTGTTTGAATAACAGGATAATCAACATTTACTAATGTATTTATATAACTTTAAACTTCTTACAGTTAATTGAAAATATGTTGCCTTTTGTATGTGAACATGCTGCTGAGCTCAAATACATTTTTCAGATTAGTGCATTAAGTGTTAGCGTCAGGTAATGAACTTAACCTGCTTCTGACGTGTTGGCTTCTTTTGGCTCAAGATAGGCATGGCTGCTTTCCCTGCTTCAGCATGAAGAGAGGCTGGATGTGGAATGTCATACAAACCTGGACAGATGACAAGAAAACAGTGCTAGCTGCCAGCTACCTTCTCTGTGTTTGTCAGGATTAGTGCTTGCTTTTTGTCAGGATGGCTCAATGCATCGTCCTGTATCTGACTGGCATATTGGGAGGACGTAAACTGAAATACTGGCCAGACAGGCTGGCACTTTTTAGGTTCAAGAGAGGAAACACACATAGGGCTACTCTTTCTGGTTAAGGAAAGAGCATTGGTCCACAGCTTGCCTTTTCTTGGCACAGCCTGTCCATTCCCAGAATTGCTTGCTGCTCCTGCAAGCAGTTTTTCTAGGTATGTGGAAATTAAAGCTCAAACAGTAGTAGATATAAATGGACAGGCTGCTTGAAGCAGTATCCTGTACTGTACCCAAAACTGTCCTGTGACAGAGCTCTGTCTGCAGCAGGGAAGAGAAATTAACCAGTGCATCTCCTCCTTAACAACTTCAGCTTTCATACTGGTATTTTAAGAACAATGCCAGTTTCAGTGTGGCTCAAAACTACCATCGATGAGGAGCAGCCTCTGAGCTGTTTGGTCATGAGGTGGTAATTCTGTCCTGAGGTGGGGTGAATGGCCTGGGTGGAAGAGTAATAACTCTTTCAGTCATCTGATTTTAATCCCTCACCATATGTTACTTGAAGTCCTTAGATGCCCTCTACTGCCATATACCAGAATTAACAGATGGCTCTGTGTAACCAAATTCAGATTTGCTTAAGTTTGTTATTATCTCTCTGTCTTTATAGATTAACAGGGAAGGGGAAATAATATCCATAATTATTACAAAATATGCAAAGCGTTTTATAAAGTGTGAGTTTGGGCTAGACATATTTTCTGACTTTCAGTGCCATTGCCCTATATTTCAAAATTTAACACTAATTTTAGTAGTCTCTTCAGAGCCCATTTCTCTAGTAAATTATCCCTCTGTGAATAAATGTGATCTGGAAAGATGCCTGAGGCACAGCAGAATTTTCCCCCAGCATTTCATGCCACATAATGCTAGACAGAAGGAAGCTGCAAAACCTGCTGCTGTAGATCAGCCTTTGTTCTGGTGAGGAAGGAAAGGATGCATTTAGCCATCAGATGTATCTTTTGCGTGAGACAGAACAGCAGGTAAGAGTGTACCTAAAATGGAACAAGAATGAAATTTCTGTCCTACCTTTGCCCGTGTTATGACAGGTTTTGTGTGCGGGCAGGCACAAAACAATCCTAACCAATCTTGGGGGAAATCATTCCCCAAGCTCTTAAAAATCAAGTGACTCTGTGGTGCTTGAGTTTTAGTTGTGTTGGGTATGCCAACTCCTTCCTTTTCCTTCTATAAGGAAAAGCCAGCAAAACAATCCCACCTTTAATTCCCTGTCCCAGGTTCCTATCACTGCTCTGAGTGGATTTGTTCCAAATTAGCAGCCATATTTTGTGTACATTTTTTAAGACGCCTTACCTTTCCTGAGGAAACTATTATTTCTTTCTACTCTGGGTGTTTGCTGGTGATATTACAAATAGAAGAAGGCGTGGCAGGAGGGAGCATGAGCTTTCCAGTGGAACATGTGACAGCAGGGACCTGCTCCAGGTAAATGGAGGACATGCAGGAGGGCCTCTGCCAGGCCAGTAAAAAACTTGAGTTCATGAAGGGTGCAACTTTCACACTGTGCTTTCTTTTCCCTCCAGCACAGTCCTCTACTTTCAGCCACACTGGTCTAGAATATGCCGCTTACATTTTTCAGGAGCTTTTATAATTTTTCCAGAACATAATCTCAAACTAACAGAAGTCCATAGCAAAATCTTATTGTGAATGGGGGCTTTGTTCTGGGAGACGATTTTTGAAAATGCCAGGTTATCAGTTAGCCATTGCACAAAAGGCTGAAACATGAATTTGTTCATATGCCTTTGTTTCAGCATGTTTCATTCCTTCAACCCCTCCCCCCATTTTCTCCAAGAAATACATAGAGCTCTACAAGTCCTCCTGGCAGGTGGGCTATATAATGTCATGGTGGTAAACCTGGAAAGCTTTACCAATTTATACTACCCAACAATGCGTTTCATTGCATGTATTTTTATTAGATCCCCATTTTTCCCAATTTCTTTAAAGGCTTTTTTCTTCCCCTATCCATCAGGGAGTGAAATCATGTGTCCACAGAATGTAAATAACAGCTGTTTCTAATCAATTTGCATTTATATGCTTAGCACTTAAAAATAGCTTATTTCTAGAGGCTTTCACAATCTATTCAAAATTTCTTCTTGGTTACAGGTACTAGTGAGATGTTAATGAAATCCCTTTGGACAGGCTGATCAAAAGGGCACAGCAACAACAATGAAATTCTTCAAATGACTGATCAGTTATGCTTCTGACTTACACTTCAGCAAGCGACTGAAGTGTATCTTCTAATCTCCTTGGGCATTTTAAGATCAGTCCTTGGGCTGCTCTAACTGTTCTAAGGGGCAAAATATGCCAGATAAGGAGATCAACGGTTGAAAAAATCTATGCTGAACTGGTAGTGTACTTCTAGCAAAATCAATTTATCATACAAGTACAGCTGAACAGTAAGAAGAAAAAACAAAACAACACCTGGCAATGTATTTAAAGGGAACAGCTTATTTGCCAGTGTCACAGATCTTTGAACAAACAAACACCTTATGCCCTGAGAATAACTGAAAACCAGCTCTTTGTTTTTTATGGTTTTTGGTTTTTATTATTTTCTTTTGTTAATATTTCATGAATCCTAAAGCAGATACATATTTTTATTTATTAATGCCTAAATGAAGATCTTAAAAATTATGTCCAATTACTATGGGGTTTTATCTTCCAGAAAACTTTGGAAGCCTTTCACCTCATTATTTTGCCAAGTGTCTCAACTTGAACCTTTTCTTCAGATTTCTTTGATCCTCCGAAGACTGAAAATTACAGAACAATGGCATTTAGTGACCTTTGGTATGGTTCATTTACTCTGTTGACTGTGTAAGAAGATGCTTGCTTCTAAATCCAGATTTTGTTTGGTGTTATAGAAATGCACTTTCTTCTCTGCATATTTGTTTATTCAGAAGAAAAATCCTTTTATTTTTACAGGAGTCTCAACTGGGGTATCTCTGAACTGGAGACTCTGGACTGGTGACTGAAATTATTTAGAAAAGACTAATTATGTGTGTGAGCAATCTAAGGTAATGTAAGATCAGGTCATCTCTAAAAATACTGTGAGTTCACACTACCTGATTTCAGAGGGCAAGCTTGTATTTCTAAATTTAAAAAAATGTGCCTTCTGATGTCAAGAAGGACTTATACCGGGAATGTAAGAGGAATATATATGGTTTATATCCACACTAGCTGGGCTAGTTCCCTCTAGAGCAGACTCCCATAATCACTTCCCACAGTCCTCCTTGGACTCCTTCTCCTGGACTCCTCCAGACCCAACATGTATGGTTACTGTGCTAAAAAGACAGAGAAAGGACAGCAACACACACGGATTTCTTTAGGGAAAAAAGGCCAACTTTATTGTACGGACAGTCCATATTTAAAGTATGTTACGTGGAGCTAGGACAGGACAGTAGCTCATTGGATAATTCGGAAAAACATCCATGGGACAGTACCTCAGGATGTATCCCACGGGAAAGACACCAGGTGTTAATCTTTATTATGAATTCCACTCTGTTTTTCACCATATTATCACCCTGGGAGACTTCCTCCCTAACTGAAGCCATAGTCAGCTTGTCAGCCTGGGAATGGATCTGAGAGTCAGGAGAAATCCAGGCCTGAAAAAGAATTTCCAAGCTGTAATTCCCTAGCTCCCTAAATGTGTGCGTTCACAAACACACAATTCTGATTTTTCCGTGTTATCTTTCAGTTGGAAGTTTGTGAAGTGGAGCTGTCCCGTGGCCAGTGAGAAGGGTTTTTTCCTAGCACCAAAGCGAGGGTACGTGTGTCCGATGGGGATGGGGTAAGGCGTGCGGCCGCGGCCAGCTCGGCTGCTTTGGAAGAGCGCGCCTTGTGAAGCCAAGCAAGATGTGACCTTGGGAATGCTGTCCCTGCAGCAGTGGGAAGCCATTGCTTTCAGCAGGGCTTGTGGAGCAGTGGGAGGCAATGAGGAGGTGTGGGAGCAGCAGAGGGGCCTGAGCTTGCTCCCAGGCTGCCACAGTAACAACGGGCCCGGAGGGATCCTGAACATCTCTGCTGCCGGCGCCACCTCAGCCGCGGTAAAGCCCAGGGTCCTGGTTTCACCTGCCACTGCTACACAGGTGTTTTCACTGCAGAGTAAATGCTGCATTGTTAAAGAAATACAAGGCTTTTCCTGCATAATTTCTACAAAGTCATGAGTTAAAACTTTGAAACAGTCATATTGAAACAGAGCACTCACCCAGTTTTATTTATTCAAGCTTTTGTCCCTGGAGTGGACAGGGCACTGTGAAGGTACTAACCAGTGCTGCTCTTCTCCTCACAGGCCGTTGTGTCACCTCTCAGCCTTACCAGTGGCCTCTCCGCATTCACTTCAAACCTTTCTCCAACAGATGTGGCCATATAAAGTCAGTGAATTGTAACCCCATGCAGCCAACACACAGTGTGTTTCTTTCAGTATTTTAATACAAATATATGCTCTAGAAAGGGAACTTCTCTGTCATTTTTCTTACCTCTCCTTATGATGAATTTCCCATGAATTTTATTTGCTCTGTGCTTTTCTACTCTGTATAGGAAATCCTTTTTTCTTAATCCAGCTCTAAATATTGTGGAGCTTGCTGCCACTCTGTTACTCCATCACTAATGCCAGGATTTTAGCTGTAGAAAAAATGGCATGGAGGAAAGGGAATTCTGTAAACACCTATTCTTGGAAAATAACAAATGAACCTATACTGAAATGCGTCAGTATTAAAAACTATAAAATAAATTTTTAAAAGGATATGAAGCCTTTTGTTACTTATACCAACCAAACAAATGTTAATTAATTAAGGGTCAAGGAAATATTTTTCCTAGCATTTGTTTATTATTCCAATAGAAATCATCAGTTTGTCTTAACTAAAGCAAAGGTGACTCCTGCAGCACAGCTCTGATGCAGTGTAACCCCTACAGACACTGACTTCAGAAAAACAGTACTTACCATATTATTTGTTTAAACAAATCAAACACATTTGAATGAGAAACTAGCAGTGTTTAAGACAAGAAACTTCAGCAGTGTTTAAAAAACTTGGTGCTAATGATTAGGAGTGTTTAAGAAACACTAATCTTTGCATGAAACTATTAAGCTCTGTTTTTTTACCATTAATGAGCAGGAAATGCATGTTTGCACAGGAGGGTCATGCTTCGATAGTTTAATCTTTTACTTAGGTTAATTTTTATTCAACATGATAATGACTTAGTGCACTAACTTTTCACTGTTCATTCAATTTTTCTCTGTAACTTTCATGGTCACCATTTTATTAGATTTAGCAGAAGAGAAAAACAGGTCTTGTAGATTGTTTTTTAATCATCTCACATTTTGCTGGTAGGGAGATCCTTTTGCTGAGGAATTAAACTTTGGTAGCAGTCAAAACTGGTCTTATTTAAAAAAGTAAACTGCCTCTGACCTGACTGTTTTTCATCTTGACAAGCAGTAAAGCTGAATATAAGCACAACTTTTTTCTGTATTTATATTTCATAAAGACCAGTTGGCAACACTTCTTAGTTCTATTGGCTGTGCCAACATCATGTGTTATGTCTACACAATGAAAAACTTTGTGATACATTATCCCTTCTCACCCACATCATGATGCTTAAGAAAGTGGCATGCCAGGCCATAAACTTCTACTTCTCCAGAAGCCATGACATGCAAAATTGCTGACCAAACACACTGTTTAGTTCATGCAGCCTCCACATACCTCCCACTGTCTGATCTGCAGTGTTCCAACAGCTGTAGTTATACACAGTGGAACTAACATTCTGTAGCACTTGTGTTTAAAGTTTCAGATAGTTCCATGCAAATTGCCCAGTAAATCATAATTTATCATTTTTTGTTTTTGTAGAAGTACCTAAGGATAGCAGTTGAAATCACAGGCTCATTTTATAAGGGGTGCCAGAAAGATACATAAATAAGTAACTATCTTATTTCTCCAAACAGCTTATTATTTTTTGCATTAGAGAGTTGATTAAATACAAAAAGGTGAGATTAAAATCCCCCCCACAGTGTACATTTACAAATTAAATGTGTGTGAATTACTCTATATAGAAAACCAAGAGCTCTTATATACACACTACATACTATCAAAGGCTAGCAGAAACACCAAAAATGCTTTTATCTGAATTTTAAGAGTATTTTGCACAGATGTGCTTCTAAATTAAAAAAAACAAAAAAACAAAAAACAACAATACAGATATCTGAATCTCATATTCATCCTCCCTTCACAGAAAAGGAAAATGCATCTCCCGAGAACAGCTGGGTGACATATTCTAGACAATAAAATGTTAAAATAAGATCAGTTGTCTTGTGCATGTACTTTTTCTGTGCCGACTGACCACAAGGGGAACCTGTGAAGATTAACTCAGATTTAGATGTCTAATTAGTATCTGTCTCAATCTTGGCGATAACCCCAACTTTTATGTATTGTACGTACACAATTTTTTCCTTTATAACGGTGACTAGTGGGTTTGCTCTAGGTCAATTTTGTTATTGCAGCATTAAAACAAAATATACATCATCTATTACAGATGAGGAAGGCAGTCTACATCTATTTGATCTCTCCGTTTCATAACTTTGTATTGGCTTTGAGGACAGAATGAGCATGTGAGAAACTACAGCAGAGAAGATGCTAAAATTCATAAAGACTGGAGTAACTAAGAAATGGTACCTTTAACAAGCAGTCGGTGCTGTGACTTATAAGACCTGCCACAAGGATTTATTGTGGTACGGCAGAATTTGGACATGACAGGTCCGGCCCTGTGCGGTGCTGCCTCCCGGTGGTGCCATGCACAGCCTGCACGGCAGCTCCCGCGGCGCACAGCCAAGGGAAAAACCCGCCTCAAAAGCATCCCTTTTGTTTTAATTTGGGGATAATTAGAGGAGGGAAGAGAATTCTTTTCTTTAAGGCACCAAGGTTAATTGAGCTGCGATTTAAATGGTCCGAATTCCTGTTCGGGAGCACTGGAACAGGCTGCCCAAGGAGGTTGTGGAGTTTTCGCTGCAGAAATTCCAAATGCACCTGGCTGTGCTCTTGTCACCTCCTGCAGGTGACCCTGCCTTAGCAGAAGCACAATATGATCTAGGGAGGTCCCTTCCAAACTTAACAATTCTGTGATTCTGTGAATTAAAGGCAACATTTTTAATACATGATGGAAACAGAGTTTTCTAATGGCATGCAGTACAAGCAAAGCTGAGGAGACTTCAGTGAGACATTTAAAAAACAAAAATCCCTCAGTAAGATATCCCCAGCTGTCTACTATATACAGCAACGAGCCTAAGACGCTCTGGAACACTCAATATCTACTAGATATAAAGCAAGTGGCTGAGTGCCCAAACAAAGTGCCAGAACAGACTTAATATTGTGAATTTTATGCAACTTAAGTTCTCAATAATAAAGAACAAGGGCAACAGAAAACAGAAATCCAAAAGTAACTTTCAAAATTTTTTTTTTCTGTTTGTTTTTTTTGCATAGAATCAGAACAATAATCAAATGGATGAATTCTGAATTCTAAGTTTTCAAGTGAAGAGAAACAATGACAGTTTGAGACTAGAAAACTGAGAGCTTCAGATTGTGAGAGTAGTATTTTAATTGTGTCATACCTCGGGTAACCCAGGAAAAAGATTTAGTAAAAGAAAATACAGTAAGATTGAAGGCAGCAGCGCAATGCAGGGAAAGGTTTTAAAACATCACTGTTACGAATTAATAACAAAAGGGCACAGGGTATATGTAGTGAACATGTATTTTAGACAGTTTCCAGCCACTGGGCAGAAGAAGAAGTACTTTAAAGACACATAATAGATTTTTAGCTCTCAAAATGCCTGAAAAGTATCCAAAAGTGTTTGGGAAACATTGTGAAATCAAGTATTTCTACAGTGATAGTGGATGTTTGATCACAAACAGGGTTTGACAGGCAAGAAAAGACAACTGTCATAACAGAAGGTTTCCACAAAGCAAAAATTCTTAGCAGCATTAGGCAGCAGTAAGCAAAATATGAGAAAAAGAATGGGGGGAAATAATTATAATTTTAAATTAGTCCAAGGATATCTCTTCTTACACTGGAGTGAAGTCAAATGGAGACAAATTATGTCTCAGCTTTCCACAAATAAAGGGCATTCAATTTTATGCACTGGAACATAACAAGACACTACACAAGATGTAAGCTTACTTACACACCAGAGTCCTTACCAGGCACCACAAACTGATGAAAATATCAAAATTTGTTGTACTACAAATTACTACAAATTTAATTCGTAGTAATTTCTGCCTGGACTATTTTAAAAGTTATAGTCCAGGCAGAAAAAGACACAATTATGTTCATGCAATTGAACTTAGAGTTAAGCAGCCATCCTTTCCAGAGACCCCATAGACATTACTTCACAACAGCAGACTTATTATATAAGCCACACACAATTACAGGGAGACAAAATCACTTGGGTGATGGTGGCTTGACCATGGACTCTGATATCTCATAAGCTCAACAGAGTGAAGGAGCAAAACGATTTCATGCTCTGCCATGATAAACCATTATCAGCTACCCAGCATTCAGAGTTAAAAATGCACTGGCACTAGTTTGCTTTAAAAATTTCCACAAGTATTTAAAGGCAGTCTTTTTACACACATCTACCTTTGCTTTTTCACAAATAAAGGATGTTCAAGGGAAAAAAGGTAGTATCTTTAGAAACCAGCAGTTTCTCTCAACTTCTCAACTGAGAAGATGAGCGGTACTCAACTTCTAGCAAAATCTGTAGAAAACGCACACTGGCAAAATGACACTAGACTAACAGAAGAAACAAAACCCTTCCTAGGTTATCCAAATTGCTTTGGAAGGGAAATGCAATAAAAATATATGGTGTATATGAGATAATTATTTTCTGATTATTTAGAAGAATCTACTAAGAAGACTTTATGAAGTCACTGGGATATCTGCATCAGCACAATGTTCCAAGCTAGCCCTTTCTATCAGAGGGCTGATGCCTAAAACTGTAGACTGGAACAAAGGTTTTTTTCCTTTTCCTGAAGGAAAAACTTGCTACATGACATAGGCTATTACAAGAAGAACATTTTTGCACCACAAAATGCTAAAGCAATGAAGCTGTTTTGATTTAAAGCATTTTATGTAATAAAGGGTCAATGCTTCCTCCTTGGTACGCAACAAAGAGCAGTGACTACCTTGCTGATGTAAACGATTTCTATTGTGATACAGCTATTCCAACTTATATATGAACACAGCATTCTCACTGAGTGGCAGTTGGGGTGGGATTATATAAACAAAAAAACCCCACATGAACCATGAATGCACACAGTAGCTCTCAGATATTTGAGAATGTTGGATGATTTAGAAAGGCAAGTTACTGTGTCTGGGATGCTAAAAATTAACCAAGTTGGCCAGTTCTCCAGACATAACCATAGGCTTAAATACAATCACTTGGCTGATGTATAATTAAACATGGAACCAGACATCTTGCAAGCATAACAGAAGAAGGAAAACTATTAGTTTTCACAAATACCTCATATAATATTTTTCATAAATACTACTTCATTAATACTTCAGTATTCAAGCTCACCTGCTGTTACTAGATTCCTAAAAGGAAAAAAAACAAAACATCCCACTCAAAACCACCAACCCTAACACATCCATTTCTAGACTTCCCATTTTGACACAAGACCTGTATGGATTCACTTGACCAATGATGAGCCTCTGACCTCTTGAATTTAGTTAGAGCACTCTATCCCTGTTACATCCTGTTCTAAGACTAGTCCATTTGCTGACCAGGAATGCACAACTGCCTTCACTGACTCCCTGTTTTGTCAGTGCCATTTTGTTGTTTTTAGTAGAAAATAACAGTCAAATCAAGTTAAGCATGTTCTGTTACAGCCAAACATGTCACTTTCTGTAACTTTTATTTCCAATCAAAATTAACAGCAAAGTCCTGATGAACAAGGTTATCTTCATTATCGGTCTTTAGGAGGATTAGGATTCTTGCGTCTTCTATGATACCTAAAAGAAAAAAAAAAGATTGCAGTGAGTGCGAGCTCTGGACAGCCTTTATTTTTATGGTATTTGTGCCCCCAGTGAGTGATCTGAGGTTACACAAGGCAGTGAAATACAAGATACATGAGAACAATCCATCACCACTCATTAGATGTCATCTCTGTTGTTTGTGGAGTTACATAATGCTACTCATTTCTATTGCTACATCTGCTACAAGCACGCAATAATCCAATCAGTTCTACAGCTGAATAGGCACAAAGGCTGCTGTTTATTCTTAATCCTTTGTGTGAAGTTAATTTTATTACATGGTTAGCCTTGCCTTTGGCTAAAATGATTGCTATAGAACAAAGATGTTTAAAGGAGCTAGCTGTGTCAGACTGTATGTTAAATAGTGTAATATTTTGCAGAAAAACTAAAAAACACAAATTCTTCAGAACAAAAAATGATCCATACTTTCCTCTTAATTATGCATGCTAAACAAGGCAGATCCTGTCTGATCTTCATCACAGTGACCCTTTATGACCCTTTGATCATAAAAGTCCTACTGTCCCGTTCCTTGTATCTACTCCCAAAGCACATTAATTAAAAAGTTTTCAACAAAATTTGCCTGTATTATTTCTCCATAGCTATAAAATTAGCAGTTATTGAAAGATAGCATAACATGGAGTAGAAGGGAGTACCACATCAGAATGCTGCTTGTTTACATTAGTATACCTGAATGTCCAGAGTTCCTCTTTAAGCTCACTCATGTATATGTGCACCTCTCCTCCTCCTTGACTTCTGAATACAAGGTACACTAAAGAGAACTTTTTACCATTCCAAATGAAAAACCTCTACTACTCTCAAGTCTGAGAATCATCCCATTGAGGTTGCTAAGGAATAGGCAATGCATATCTCCAAGCTGTATTTGGTTATGTTCATTGAGGGTATTTTACAAACTAGATTCTGCTATGGAACTTTGATGACTCGAAGCAGTAGCTAACTGGATGTATGAGACATGTCTACACTGTCACATATTTTACCAAAAAAAAGTGGCAAAGTCTATCAAAAGAGCAATGTTAAAAAAGCCCCTAATTAAACACAGTAATAAATACATCTACCCTACACTGCATAGAAAATTTTATGTAGTAGCCCAAATGCCAGAGGTATCTCACGTGACATGACTCATCCGAGGTTCAATCCGGTCATTAAATTATGCCTGTTACTTCCAAAAGGAAAAACAAATTGAAAACACTTACTGTCCCACAGGATACCAGCGATGTTTTGTTGTGTAAAACATTTTGCTGAGCTCTTCAATTGTAGGACCTTTATTGTTCTTTAGCTCTTTTTCATTCAATCTGGATTTTAAAACCTGATCGAGGTTTTCTTCTTTATTATTCACTGGATCTGGCCGTGGTATGGGCTAGCAAAACAGTAATGTATATATTTATGTCCTTGTTCTCCTTGTTTCATTTAACTGAGAACGTTAAAAAGCCAAGCTACATAAGAGTAATCTGTAATGCTATCTAACAGCTGAAATAAAAAAAACCACAGGAAAAATACCTGCAATTGCACTGGCTGTTGATTGTCCCCACCTTCCCACCCCGAATGAAACCACAACACTGTGGAGCAAATGTCTAGACACATCTATTTAACCTAGGTGCTACATCTGATGACTCTACCCCTAAAACCAGCATTCTTGTAGTCATTATTGCAGATCTCAATCTTAGGATTCACTAGCTGAATTATCAGCTTCAGTTCTACTAACACAAAAGTATCCACACTATTCCCAGTCAGAATTCTATTCATAGCAACCATCATCATTGCTAAAAATCTTTCAGAGGACACGTGCCTTTGAGAAGAATGTAATTTCTTAATTTTTTATGCAACAGCTAAGACCAAGTTGTTTGTTTACAATTGGAAACGTAACTACTACCACTATTACAAATATTTTTTCTTGTTTTAGCTTTTTCACCTGTTTTTCTTGAGGTACGTGTAACTGACAGATTTAAAAAACTGCTATGTAATTTGCTAATTTGCAGGTGAAAAGCGCTAAAATGATTTGGATTCAATGGAGAATTTTTACATTGGCTACTTCAGCAACACAGCTGCCAGCTGCAGTATTTTACTAGCACATGAGAACTGGAAATTTAAACAAAAGGTGTACACTAGAAAAATTTATCTGGGTGTTAAACACACTAGATTTAGTTTCATCAATGTAAAGAACACACTGAAAGTAGTACTGATAGATTAAAATCAATATTTAAAGTTCTTTGTGGCTTTTATGAACTCAATGCTGAATGGAATTTAAAGTTTGAGTTGAAAATAGTAGCAGCAGTATTTCTTTGTATTCTCTTGCCCAGTAGGACATGTGAGCCATAACCTGCATTCCAATAATCCTCTCTGAGTAGTACCCACATAGACAGACACTATTTTCTCTGCAGTGCACAAGTGTTTTAGTGCCTTGTTTAACTCTATTAGAGCTACTGTATGCTGTGATATCTGAGCTTTTCTCACTCTACAACCTTCCCTCAATTCAACTAAGAGTAAATTCCTCCTTGGAAGCAGCTATATTCATCAGTCATTTACTTCACAGATGTGCTGATCACATACTAAAAAGTGTTTCTCATTAAAAAGATGCTCTAAAGACTCAAATCTAGTGACTACTAAATGCCTTTACAAGAGTAAGAAATATAAATGTGCACACTTGGACATACTTTTGTATGCTCGTATGGAATCTCAAGCGAAGGGTGGTAGCAGACAATTGTCTTCAAATCGGATGTCACTGCAAGTTCCACTTTGCTATAAAAAAAACCCAAAAAACTCATAAATTTCAAAAGCACTGAAAAACTCAAATGCCCAAGCCCCAAAGAAAACTGGATTTGACTCTGCATTTACGAATCCTTAATAATCTTCTATAAAGTGGAGGTCCTAAATATTTGATCCAAACCTCCAATTTTTTGTTTTCTCAGTCATCTTCCTTTTTCTTTTTTGATGGAGAGGAAAAAAGGGCTAACATAAATTATTGAAATAGCTGGAAATATGAGTTGGAAAAAAAAAAATCTTAAATACTTAAGGAGTTGCATATAAAACTACAAACAGGTGGGGATAATGATCTCTAGGACAACATGCCTTTATAAGATGTATGGCACCTGAAATGAAATAGCAGGAAACAAAGCAAAGTTTGGGGTTCCAAACTTTTTATTACGTAAAAAATGCTGAACAAGAAGTCGTACTGAGAGTTTCATTGTGAGAATATAACTTTTCTCACCTTCATTCCCCTTTCCATGACACGTTATGCTTCCTAAAACTGTGGATGGCATGAATTGTGTTTCTCACTTTATTTGCATCATCTTTTCCCATTTCTACATAGGTTTCCCATGCAGCAGCACAAAAATACCTGGTCTTTGTCTTAACAAGCATCAATGGAAATGACTACTCTAAGCTAATTTTGCTCTTCCACAAACAAAACTGCAGGGGTACTGGGGGTCATCGACACGTTTGGAACAAGTGCTGCATGACTTTTCATCACACATTAAAACATTAACTGAAACATTAACTTCACAATCATTACTATCAGAGACAGTACTTTAGCTAAAATTATTACATATATCTCATATTGGCAATAGATGTATTTGATACTATTACATGACGACCTGACGACAGAGAGAGAGAGTAACCCTGGAATAAACATTACATGAAAAGGCCACACATCAAAGCACATTTACATACCAGTTGTAGTCTTCAGGGAGAACTGAGTATGTAGATTTCTGGCAAGCACGATACACAGCTCTATCTGCAATAAAAACCCAAGAACTCTGATACAGAAACAAGCAGAGCTGTGCCCAATTAAGGATGTTTACACTTTCAATTTTCATTCTGTTTCAAGTCTTAATCAAGGGTTATAATCATATTCAGTTTTAGATTAACAAAACCCAAATACTGTCTAAATAGACGTTCATTTTAGTTCACAGCTTTCTAGCAGTGCAATCAAAAAAACACAGTATGCAGGCAGCTACGACCTATACTTACCTTCCTAGTTTTATTGTTTTCCTGAGTAAAATCACTATATGAAAGAAATACCTATAGAATTCACCATTAGGAAATATCCTTTATACATGTAAAGACCATTACCTTATGACTTAGAGGGAATATTATAATTTCATTCATAGCAATATTTATTATAAAAATCAAAAAGAGGGGCTCTGACTGGATATGAAGAGAAATGTTTTCCTCATTAGGGCAGCCAACTAAGGGGATTGAGACCCAGGCAGGCTTGTGAGTTCTCTGTCCTTGGAGATTTCAAAGACCCAGCAAACCCTGAGCACCTGACATGACTGCAGAGCTGACCTTGCTTTGAGCAGGAGCTTGGACACAGACTACTCAAATGCCCCTCCCCATGGTTTGATTCCCATTCTTTTTATAGACTCATAGAATAATTTAAGTTGGAAAAGACTTTTAAGATCATAGAGTCCAAACACAAGCCTAATATAATGTATTCAATAACCCCTCACACAGGAATATCCTGCAGGCATTGCTTTCCACAACAAGGCAGGTATGCATGCCTAAGGCGGGCCTGGGACGCGCCTGGAGTTGACTTCCACCGAGAACCCCCTTCCTTTATTGCTGGAACCTGACACTAATCCACATGGAAGTTTCTGTGTCCGCTGAAGCTTTATCAACAACTACGCTTTCAGAACAGAATTATGATCACAAGAAACAAGTCTTTACATGTTCTGAGCTTTCTGTTAAGTCATAAAAAGGTTTCAGCTTTATCTGACATTATTTTATTTAGACTGTCTTTTAATACAAATAGGATTCTTCATGGCTGCTCCTGGCAGAGGGGGAGAGCATTCATTGTGTCAGGACTGTGAAGGCTGAAAAAACCAAGAAGACACTTTCGTATAGGTATTTTCCTCTCAGAAATATTTTAGATGCAAATTCTTAAATTCAGAATTACTGTTAGCATTTCCACTCTTCAGTTCTTCTAACTAAACTATTATTAGTTATTAAGCAGTTGAGTTCTGGTAAACTGCAACTAGTTTGTATTTCTTCCTAAAATTTCTTTCCCTTCCTTACCCACTTACCTCTAAAATGTAACATGTCTATTCTATTTTCTCCATTACTGTCTTTTCTACCACCTTATCTTCCTTATGTCTTTCTATTGACATCTAAAACACGGACAAAAATCTAAGAAATAGTATTGTCTCTTTCTACTTGCTCTCTGTTTACGTTAAGTAATGAGATTTTACTGCAGCCTTTTCTCAGCACTTTTCTAAGTTTGAAAAAATAAATTTAAATCTTCAGTGATAATGTGGTAAGAAGGGTAGTATTTACAAGTTAATCAATAAATTTGGGGAGCAACCTGTTTGGACCATGAAGGTTTTAAAAGCACAAAAAAAAAAAAAAAAAAATGTCCTTTAAATTACTATTAGAATACAGCACAGACTAACAGACTTGATTCTGTTCAAACAGAAAAATCACTTCCATGCTTCCATTACTTTAAACAGTACAGGAAAGAGGTTCTCAAGAAACAAATTTTAATATAGGACTTCCACAATTTCATCACTACTTACTCTGCAGTGGGACCTGCTTACAAGTTGCTACTGAATGCATCCAAAAGAGGCTGGACCATGCAGTTCTAAGCGACATAGCCATGCTGACAGCAGAGAGGAAACCAGTCCTGGACAAGATGGAACTCAAAGAACTTTTTCTCTGCAGAACACCCTCTGAAAGAAACCTGAAAGTTTTGGTTACAATGTTTTGTAACTATTCATGATACAAAAGACTAACAAATTTCTTGATTATCTTAAGAAAAACTAAAATTTGTGCAACATAATTCTTCAATTGTTAATTCTTCATAATTGTCAATTGTTTAGAAGTCCTTATCACTTAAGATAATGGTACCTGCCTCCCTAAGAATCAAAAGTATCACAAGACTTTATTTATCGAGAGGGAATCTTTGAAGATTTTTAAAAAAGCTTTCATGCCTGTGCCTTTTCACAGGCTTTTCTACTGGCACTCACCCACCTAAAATTTCATCCTTTCTTCTGCACACCCCATAAAATTACTCGTGAAATATATTTTTCTTGTTCACAATGTAAATATCATCACCCAGTACAAAAATAGAAGTACTTATAAACTACACCTGCTTTAGATAAAGAACTCTAAATGCAGTTAATTGGTTTCATCCATCTCAAAAGCAATACACCTAAAAACTCGGAAACACCATTTAGAATACCTTAAATATCACCCAAAATTTCGCAGAAGCAGAAAAGCATCTTACATTTTCATTGCCTACTGAAAAAAAAATTGCTTTATATAGAGACTTATAAGAAAGCTAGAAAAACATAACTGGAAACAGTTTAAGGACATACATACAAAAAAAAAACCAAACCAAGAATCCTTTAAAAGTATTTCATATTTTGTGTTGGTAAGAACATCAGAAAAAATGTGCATTTTCCAATTTCGACATAAAATAATTCAGCATTCTTTTTATCTGTGCCAATGCTGCTGAAGTTCGGGGAACACCGACACCTACAGAGCTGCTCATAACTTGCCCTCAGAAGCTCATTAAGGAAAAGGGTGCGGGGAACGCGGCGGATCTCGGTCCAAGGACAGGGCTCAGGCACCAGCCCAATTCCCGGCCCCACTGCGGGGACCACTCCAGTTTGAATGGGAACAGCCCCATCCCTGAGACAGCGCACGGAAACTCCAACGCGTGTGCCAGTAACGCGCGAGAACACAAAACCTGAGGCTTAGAATTAAGATATTCAGCATTAAAAGAAGGTCAGTAATTCGTCAAAGCAAGCAAAAGAGTACCCGTTATAAAGGCCTGAGCGTGCCGCACAGGGTGCAGCCCCTCCGAAAGCACGCAGAGCCTCCGTCCGGCCTCGCCCCTGCAGGCACCGCGGGCACTGCGGGCACCGCGGGCACTGCGGGCACCGTCTGCCCCGCACCAGCCCCGCCGGCGGAAGCGGCGCCCCGCGCTCGTTCCGGCTCCGGCGGCGCTCGGCCCGCGGCACGCCGGGACTCGTAGTGCGGCCCGCGAGGGGACACCGGCACCGCCTCCCCTTCCGCCCAACGCCCTGCTTCGATACCGGCCACAAGCTCTGAGCCGCTTCTTAAAAATGTGGGGCAGAAAGGGCTAGGCCAGGCCGGGCCAAGGGAGCAAGCGGACACACAAACACAGATTCACCGGGTTAGGTTGGAAAAAACCTCTGAGATCGTCTAGTCCAATCTTTGACTCCTCTACACCTTGACACCTAGGCCATTGCAGTAAGGGTCATGTCCGGTCATTTCTTGAGCACCTCCAATGATGGTCACTCCACCATCTCCCTGGAGAACCTGTTCCAATGTTTAACAGTCGTTCCTGTGGACGAATTCCTCATGATGTCCCACCTGAGCCTCCCCTGCCTCGAGGCCGCTACCTCTTGAGCTGTTGTCCACAAAACCCCAGATTCATTAACTGATGAACAAGCCAATAATTAGCCACTGTGGACAGCACTGCCATAGGCTGTCCAACCCCCACCTCATTACAACCTCTTTTCAGGCAGTTGTAGAGAATTATGTGGTCCCCCTGAGCCTCCTCCAGGCTAAACACCCCCAGCTCCCTCAGCCGCTCCTCATGGGACTCTTGGTCCAACACTCACTGCTTGCTCTGGCGGTCCCGTGCTGCGAGGGTTTTGGGAGCTCAAACCCACCGTGGAGGCACTGAGGAAACCTCAGCATTGGCAGCAGCTGTTCAGCTGAGGGAGAGGCACAACGCCCCAGCAACAGGCAGCAGAGCACCTGCCGGTCCTGGGAACATGCCAACATGCCATAGTCTTATATTAGCTGCAAAATAACCCCCTCTAATCCCATAATTCGAAGGGACATCTCTAATATTATTGGGTATTTCACAAGCTTGCAAGCATAGCCTGCTTGCTTTCCAGGTTAAATGACAGTGGCTGCAGTAGCTTCCTCTGTTCAGCCAGCGAGATCTTCACAGTACCTGTGTACCACAGTACCTGTACTCTTCCACAGGAAAGGCCTGTGGATCTTATGTAGAAGAAACTGCATGTTTCCAATATTCAAGGCATACAGAAAACTCCCCTGAATGTCCCAGGTACACTGCTGCTCTGGGGCTACTTGCTGTACTTCTTTCATAGACTGAGTCACAAAGTGTTTCAAAGACAAGGTTATATTTAGACAACATTGATAAAAGACAAGAAAACACAAAAGCAATTGTCTGACCTGCTGCTCAAGTGTCTGAAATGGCTCCAGCGCTTTTGGCATTTATACATCCATGAACCCTCTAAATCACATCAGCAGACTGTTACCCTTTTGGAGACTCTTGGATAGTGTCTCCTGGAAGGATGCAACCTCTTCCAGATATCTTCCAACGATTGCATCTTTTCTGGTCATTGACTGTGGTACTGCAATTTCGTGCTGTCATCAGTGAAAGCTTCACAGTTTCAGTGATGTTTAACTTTGGTCTGCAGGTGCAGAGTTGTAGTTACACTGATAACTTCCAGCAATGAAGCAGAAGTATAGCCAGAAATCAGTAGTCAAGAGCTGATCACTCCCAGTAGTGCTGACAAAGCTTTCTTCTTGAGTATTTTTCTATACAGAGGAAGATAGAAGACATCCATTTTGGGGCTCCCTGCAATATTAGATTCACTGCACCACAGAAAAAGGGGACAGAGATGGGCCAAAATGTTTTACATACTACTTAGAGAGATGCAACCAAGGTGAGAAATCACGGCTCTACTACAGAGCTCCTCCAGATTTGTGGAGATAAACTCACTTTGTCATTCCAGCAACTTTCTGTGTGCAAATACAGAGGCATCTGATCTGGGCTCATGCACCAAGCAGAAGCAACACAGTTCTATGTATTTTCTGCTGTGTAGGAACTCATGATTCCTACAAGGAAATCCTTGCACTAGGATGAGGGCAGCATCCTATACAATCAAGCAATCATCCAATACAAGCAAGACAGTGATTCTACTGATGGACAAATAAAACACTTTGAGGATTTTAAACTCAAGGACAGTGCTGAAAAAATAAAATGGTAATAAACTGTCTGAAACAAGTGCACTCTAGAAAAAAAAAGAAAGGAATGAATCTTCATTTAAAGAGTGAGCTTCAGGAGTATTTTGTCCATAGGCATAGTGGGGGTAAACAGAGTTATTTCAAAGTCAGTCTTGCCAGGAGCAGTTTGTGCCAACGTGGGAACTCCTCAGGATTCTTGACTTTCTCCTTGTCAGCTGCAGTGGGACACATCTGTATGCAAATGCAATGTGTGCTACTTGTATATGCTTGTGTGTGAACCTCTGACAATCACATTAGGCCTTGATTTCCTTCCTAGGAAATGCTAAGTAAAATTAAGTCTTCTCTGAATTTTTGAAGATGCTTATGAATTAATTGTCATGGCTTCTTCAAAAGATTGCCTAAACTCAGGGATGATTATGACTGTGGTTGACAACTCTGATTCTTAGCTGCTTTCCCAAAAGGGTATTGTTCACCCATGCAGGAGACAAAAATTCTTTGCTGTGCAGTGGAAAACTTGAAGCTAACTCCCTTCACAGCTGAAGACCACTGTAAATTTCCCCTGCTTGTTTCTCCAGTAGAAGACACTTTTTTTTCATCTCTATATGGATGGCTACTCTTAAAAAAATTAAAATCCTCCCTAGCCCTTTAGAAGTTATCTTATTAAAACTTGATATGCTTGAGTATATTAGTCATGTTTACAATATAAGACTTCTATGGTGCTCCTACATTACTGTTGCCTACATCAATTTATTTGCTTTAATAAGGACAATTTTTTACTCTTTAGTGCTATATGTACTTCCTGAGGACTGCACACAAACACACTTGCAGATACGTGTGCTCTCCTCAGACACAAGTTTGAAAAAGTAGAGTTTCCAATGTTCCTGATGAATGTGACCAACAAATCTCCCCATGGTGGGATTTTATAGGCTGCTGGCATTGAGTTGTTAATGGCTAAGAAGCTAATTCATTAACGAGATTGTTAAGATCAACAAAAGCTTTAATTTGAAGCTACAGTCTGTACTGCTTGTTTTCAATGACACTTTTTTCTGTAAGGATTTTGTTCTGGAAATGTGCACTTTTAGAACATCCCCGTAACGGTAAATCTTGTAACTTAAAATCTTAGTTCTGAAAAGCTGCAATTGAAGGTACCACAGAACTTTATTTTTATATTTTAAAAACTGAACCACATACCCTGTTAAGCTTCCAGGCTATTTTTAGGTGGTTTCTATAAAAAGATTTTTAGGAGATAGTAGATGAGGTCTACCCCCCTCCCTAATGCATAATGTTCTGCAAGTGTATTCTTAGCAGCATGTTCTGACAGATTACAGCTTTCTAAAGGGAGATGGGAATTGCTTAAGGACAGCTCAGAACTGTGACTACACACTTTTCCAGCATGTCTGGAGATGGGGTTATTAATAACTGCCAAGGCCCTTGCTTGCCTCAGCAGCTTGTAGACAGCAAAGGGGAGAGTTTCTCAGTCTGTGCTGGCTCAACAGGAAGGTTGTTCTCTCCATTACCTGTAGAGATATTATGGAGGCACTAATGCTGAGTTCCAGACCTCTGGGACTTCATGTCTCTGGAAACCTGGAAAGTTTTGTTTTTAGGTTGCTGTCTAACTGAAGATAAATAATCAACCTGCTCTTACTCCAATAGTCAATTACAAACTCCTCCAGGAAATGCTTGCTTTAACTGATCAGATGGTTGAGCTACAGTTATGCAGACTCTATGTAGTGATGAGGGCAGGACTATGTCAGTTGGCTCTGTTTCAGAAGAACAAATTTATAAATCAGAGATATCATCTGCACTGGCGTGGGTTTTATGTGAGCAGCTGCACACACACTCACAGCCCTTCTGAGAAATGAAAAATTGGGACCTGGCTGTTCTAGCTCTTTTGCTGCAGTGGCATATTTAGGAAAGTGTTACTTAGGAAAATCATTCAGGCTAGATCATTGGCAAAGTGAATACAATACACATTTATTTTTTTCCTAGAAACCAATGTTTCAAAATATTCCTAGGAATATACCTAGCATTTGGTTTCCTTTATTTCCTTTTAAACTGGCAAGGTACTACATAATCATACCTAGAAGTGGACCTGAATTTGTGAATGGATGGATGTGTTTCATTGCAAAGGTTACATCTTAACAATGGGGATGGATGGGCCTCCGCTCCTGAAATGCTGTATCTTAATTTCTATGAGGTTATCTTATAAATGTAGAAATCAAATTTCTAGTGAGACACTGTAGTTTAGTTATGGTCTTAATTCTCAAGTTATTTTGTAGACAGATTTCTATGTTTTAAGTCAATCTGTAAACACCCAGAGTAAACACCAAGGCTTATGTCAGCAGGGCCTCTTCATTCTTTAGCATATCTCACACCATTTCATCACTGGTCTATCCTGTTACTGGTAAGAAGGAAGCTGAAACTGTAAATAACAGATGACAAAACTAAAGCGCCTCAGCAGTCATATGCAGCCTAAATAGTTTGTGTTCCTGTTGATTACCACAGTTCAAGGAAACAATATTATGTCTCTGTTCAAGCAGCCACTTAATGAAAAAAATCAAAACCACCAACAAAAAAACAATAAAAATAATCAAAATCATAGCAACTCTTGTGAAAATACTCTGGGATTTACTGAACATTTTTAATATAAAATTTGGAGTGTTCATTCTGTATGTGTACATACATCCATCTGGTTTTTGCTGTAGGACAGATTTCTACAATACTTGGCAAAAATATAGAAATGCTTTTATGCAAAAATAAAGAACCTGGGGTTTGAAAGAGAGTTGCAATTACAGTGAAACTTCTATAAGATTGCTAAGAGGGATAGGAGGAGGAAATAAGATTAGTCAGCCAGTGAG